TGAGGTTTACTTGTCTTGTGTTGTACTGTGTGGTAGATGTGAAACCCCTACTAGCTGAGTTGCCTGGTATCTATATAAGCTGGTAGAGTGCTCGCCTATTGTACGGTGGAGTGTCGTGGGTTCGAATCCCACCTAGGTGGCACTTCTTCCTGGAAACTAATGGTTATACTGTGAACGTTCTCTACGGAAACCACTGAATTGCAGGCTCCGGTGGCTATGTAGAGTCTCTGGACTGAGTCCTGCTGTCTACACTCTGAGAGTAGTGGCCACCAACCGCAGACCTGACACGGAGTTTATCAAGTCTCGTTTCGAGATCACAGACGATGCAGAGCGCTGTACTCTCCACCTTATCAATGGTGGAGTGAGTGTGAGTGGAGACAGTGCCACAGTAGAGTTCACTGGGAGGGGACCTGTCCACGGCTACCTCTGTTACCTGGACAAGATGGACCCCTACCAGTGTACGTCACAGTCTCTGTAGCTACTGAGTTTGTTTCCAGGTAGCTAGTGATGAGTTGTGGTGCTCCGACTGCAGGCTCCAGTCCAGTGGTGATGAGTGGGTTGAGTTATGGGAGACATGTCCTGAAGGTGGTACCCACTGACTGTGGCAGGAACAGAATGAACCTGAAAACTGACTTCATCATTGGGTGATTGCTGACAGTTTGCTGACACAGACCTCTGTAGTTATGAAAAAGGACCTGCAATTTGTGTATAGCTAAAGTTTTTTTAGGTTTGTACGATGACAAATTTTTCACTAGGTAGCTATGATTTTGATCAGTATGTAGTAGTTATGAATGTTGGTGTGAAAATATCATTTAGGGTGAGAGACATTTTAAATCTGACCTCTGCAACGTAGGAGAATGAAGTAGTTTCCTTGAAACACACAGCACCTAGCTAAACCACTTCATGCATGGACATGTCCATGCATTTCTGTCTCTTTTTTACATCACTGTGTGTGTCACATGCGTTAGAACTACCTGTAGGAGGATGAACATTTGAAAGTATGATACATTACGAGTAAACACTCATTTCTCAGGCACACCTGTGTGAAAAATAGACAATAACAGACGGACAGGCCCATTTGTTCATTGACACTGTGCTGCTCAACTGAGCCTGAGAAATGATGTCGTTTACTTTACACATGAATGTTAGTGCTGCATGTTTCTAGGAAAATTACTTTCAATATGCCCACAAGAAACGAATAGCGTAGGCACGCGCATACACCTACGTATATCTGTTTGCATATGAGTGCAGGTAATACGCCGTATGTGAAAAACTAGTTTCTATCATTGGCGAGCGGAAGCGAGCTAACCTAGTGGTCCGAACGGCGCGATTTTCTATATATATGTATGTACCCGTACGTCGTCCAACTGCGCATGCTCCAGCATTACGCGCTTCTTTTTATCCGAAAGGGATTTCAACATTTTCATAATGCTGCCTGAATCGAGCGGAATCAGGGGAAACGCAACACCTCCGAAGCTATCGAGTATTGCTGCACAGTCCAGCGAGAGATTTTTCTACATTGCCACTTGTTCCCTATTCCTGCAAGACCAATCAGATTGCCGGATTATGCCTGATTCGCGCTGTCGTCTGACTGTTTTTGACTCGACTCGAATTGTCTACTGCGCTCGGGTCGTTTCGGCCTACTTGGTCCTGTGCAATGTATCTCACTGTTTTGTGCACACACAAGAGTGACTCATACGATTAGACCCCAATTGTAAGCGCGCTTCCGCTCGCCAAAAATGCCATGCATTCGCCTACTAGTTATATATAGACATCAGTGCCACAGGAATGCGCACGTTACCGGCGTACATATGCTGTAGCATCGCTGTTCCTTTGCGCGTAGTTCACATAAGCTTGATAGCAACAGAGTATACAAAAATTAGTTGATCGTTCCAAATACTCAGGTTGGAACAGTCATAGAGAGAGATTCCTGAAGTTGCTGTATGTCTCAAATGACCTTAGATACACCAGCACAGCTTGAAACACCAATTCATATTGAGCCTGTGAAAAGAAAAAGCTGCTTTCAAAGTGACTGCATTAGCTTGCTAATGGCTGGTTTAGTGTGACAAGTATGCTCCACTAATGTGTAGTGTGTACTACTGTCAGAAACCACAGTTATGTCTTCTGGTCAGGGAAGATACCAGGCTAAAATAGCCTTTCACCCTCAATCATGCATTATCAAGTAGCTAACTATTCTAAAATAATGATTAAAGAACGCCCATAGCACAGAGAAAAGGTTATTGGACGATCACTCAAAACTAACTACCATTGGCGGTCAATCTTACCTGTCTAGTATAACAGACTAAACATTGTACAAGCCTAGAAATCCTAGCCATAATTATTATTAAATGCAAAAGAATGAAGCGATATAAGTTCCACTAACCACAGTGAGGACAGCTCCAGGTTTGTGTACCCTGAGAGCCTTGACCACCTGGAACACATCCACCACTCCCTCTGTCTTACACCTCTCAATGGTGGTGACTATGGCACAGAACATCCCTGACCTACCCACTGTGTCACTGTGGGAAAAGAGAAACCTCATTAGCATTGTTTGTGCCCCATCGTGACAAAAGTGGGGTAGCAAAGCACAGCATAGCCAGAATATCTCCACTGCAGAGCCAGATGCTCAATGCATGAGCCAGTGGGAAAGGAGATAGTGGTCTGGCCACAAGATTCCAGTGGGAAATACTTTTGGCAAAACAAAAATGTCCCTAGACCACTTTCATAAGCTTTTGGCATTCTCCAAAAGGTTACCAGACCTTACATCATTCCAGAGTCTGAGAACAAGTCTATACACAATGGGTACACAACGGGCACACAATACCCCACACACCTGCAATGGACTATGATAGGATTGTTCCCAGTTCTCCTCTGAATGGCAGACATCTCATTTATCACACTGGTGATAGTGGCCAGGTGAGAGCAGCTGCCATCAGGACTCCAGTTAGTCATGTGCAACTGAACCACCTGGTGGGCACTGCCAGCCTGTTGCACACAAGGAAAGGTAATTAGAGAATAGCGATGTTGGGTAGAGTTACCTTCTCATTGACGACAACAAGTGTGCGCATTACGAAACCTTTAACAGGCTTTTCTTCCATGAGGTCAACAGTATATTCTCGGAACTGAGCCATTCCTCGCGCACAGGCCAGTATTGATAACATGTCTCCTGCATTTATTATAGCATGGAACATGTTACGTCAGAATAATACACTTTACAGATTATACCTGTCCATCTTCCAACAAGTCACAGAGCATAACAATGACTCCACACTTCCTGTCATGGACCATCTTCCAGAAATCTCTGGCTGTGGACTCCATGGGACTCTGAGCTATGATGAATGCTCTCTTTTGCTTGTAACCCTGTAAAAGCAAAAGTAAACCATGCCACTACAGAAACCAAACCATTATGCTACTTTTGTACATTAACAAACGTTGCATGGATGTAGTCTTGCTTATCACCTCTTAAAACAACTCCCCAGTCGTCACCTGCAATGGCGCAAAAACAACTGTTGCACACTGTTAAAAGATAGCTGTATATAACAAGATATGTAACATGATCAGCACAACATAATGCCCTTATATTATACTCACTGGGGAGGTAGTAGTCATTGCGATTCTTGAACGGATGTTGTAGAGCCTTGTTCCTAGGTATCTCCCATGGCTTAGGAGACACTTTTTCAAGTACCTATTATACAACAATCACAATTGCACCAACTATTATAGGAAAACACTATTATAGCTACCCGAAACTGGTTTTCATATTCAGTAAGTTGAGTCTGTGGGTAACGATGACTCATTTCTGTAATTCTTCTGCTGAATAGACTGGCATCAATTTGAGTGTCACCACATGTTACAGCCTCAAGTATAGCATCGTGGATAAACATGTACTGTTCCTACAAGACAGGAATTGAGAATGCACATTGTTCTGCGAGGTAGCAAGTACTTACCAAGCTCTGGACCATTTTCATTCTCTGTGTGCGGAGGTGGATGATGACACCAGCTATATCCACCACCTTCTCCTCCTCTTGCAGCTGCTCAAGAACACAGTCAATAGTTATCAGAGTCCCTGTCCTACCCACACCAGCACTGTGTAAAGTTTGATAAAGAGCATTCAGTTTCTATGCTTAGTGTATACCTGCAGTGAACAATCATTGGTCCCATTCCTCTCTTGTGATGTTTCTTCACTTTCTTGTGGAAGGCCAGAAGTGAAGTGGCATAGTCAGGCACTCCATGGTCAGGCCAGGCTGTGAAGTGGAACTGAGTCACACTCAGAGCTGGTTCTAAGCTGTCTGACAGCTGAGGAGAGACTCAATATAAAGATGCTTCTACACACCAGCGTGTGCATTACCTGGACACTAAACTCCCGAGTGGTGTAGTCAGCCAGTATCTGTTGTCCTGTGATGGTGACATTGAAGGGACCAAAGGACAGGGTCCCAGTCTCTGGCCAGTACTTGTGACACTTGACAGAACTGGCCTCCACCAGATTGGCCAGCATCACAATGGTCTGAGACCTCTCCTTCACATAGAACATTACTGTATGTATGGCATCGCCGGATAGAAAAACAATCGGTCTGTTGGCATGACAATTGCTTCGCTTGCCAATAACAACGTATATTTCCACATGGAGTATTGCAAAAAAAACCTGTTGTTGAAATGCCACCAAAAAGCTATATATCATTATCTCAATTATATAAGTACTTGGTAACAGTTATGAGGCCAACCGTTTCCAATGGTATAGTGGTAGTAACTTGATTGCTGTCAGTGTCGTTATGTGTTCAAGTGGATGATGAGCCTTAATCTTGGAATTATTTTTTCTTCATTGAATAAAATCTACATTTTATCCTCTATATATGAGTATATAGGACTACCTGCGTATAATACATCCAAGACTACGATGCTGAGGTCATACGCACAAACACTGTCGCAATGAGGAGATTGTGATATATAACCAGTAACTCTCTTTGCTGTACCTGCAAGTAACAAACAAGACAGTATATATCACTGTGCATAGCAACCCTTTGAATTTTCTATCTTACTGACTCAGCAGCACTAGTGTAGCCACAGATAGATAGGAGG